GTAATCTGAGTGGAATTTCAGCCCCTTTTTGAGTCTAGACGAAAACCCTACCTTCTACACATGGTAAGGCACCTATAAATCTGAAATTTCTCACACTTTTTGGGGGATTCCACACATTGAGAGGCAAGAACATAATTTGAGAATTAGAGAGCAAGCTCAAGAGGAGAAAAACAATAATTCAAGGGTTGGAAATCAAGATTTGGAACGAGAAGAAGAACTTGGTGCAAGATTCATCCACTCCCCCATATCTAAATTCAAAAGCCAGTGATGGACTCCACTATTTTTATTTGTTTTTCTTCTTCTGTTAAAAATAGCTAAAATTCTTGTTAGGGCGAATATGTAACCAATTTGGGACCCTTTACATATTTTATTTAAGATTCTTGGTCTTTATTGTTGCATGTACTGATTTTATTATGAATTTAATGCATTAAATTACTTTATCACTAATTTTATGATTTTGTGAATCATTTACGAATAGAGATATGAGTTTAGGATTTAAACCATATAGTAAAATCCAATAAATTAGTATAACGAGTAGAGGTGTCTATACTAATTATTGCGGTCATAATTAAATTTCTAGGATAAAGAACTCATTTAATTAAACTAGATTCATATAGGAATATGGAGTTTAATTAGTTAAATAGGCTCAATGAGAACTCAAAATGGATAAATTAAGTACAATAGGAGAATTCGACCGAACACTATATTAATGTGAATCTTAATTTAAAATGTAAAGGTGATCAATAGGTGAAATTATTCTGTCATAACGTCTGTTCATTATTTAAGTTCTAGATCACTCTTTGTGTGTATCTACATATTTTAAAATAGTTATATCAAAAATCACAACATCGAATTCTTTGTTTATTTTCGATCGAATTAAAGTTAGGAATAATTGAACCAATTATTAGATAGTAGTCCTCGTGAAAACGATATCCGGACTCTTATGTCCACTTTATTACTTGTTACGACATGTACACTTGCATGATACAAAATCGACAACAGAAGGCCATTCATGGGAAAAATCTAGAGAGTAAAATTGTGAACTTTATTGCCAATGGAAGAATTCTCCAAAAAATTGAAGGCAGCAAACTCATCGACATTCACGCCTATAAATATGGTATCACTTGTTTTTTGTGTGTGAAGTGAGTTGAGAAATGCATAAGCGTGTGTTGGACTGAGAAGTGAAAGAGAAATAAAAATATAGAAAGAAAATGTAGTGAGAGATAGCAAGCGGATAGAGAGAAATAATTAGTGCTTCCTTTACTATAAATATTGTGAGAGGTGTGTACTTGGCTTGTAAAAATATGTTTGTTAATAAAAATCATTTTCTTTAGAGTAAAAATTCAACAATTTGGTATCAGAACGAGATAGTCAAAGACGAATTTTCGAGCTTCTTGAGATCATGCACAAAAGGACATTATGGAACTTTCATAAAGTTTGCTTGGTTATGAAAAGGTAAATCAGGTCACGATAAGAGACTTATGAATGGTGGATAGAGTAAAGAAGGTTAATAATCAAAATTATACACAACATGACAAACTTACATGGAGTGGTACCTCCAAGAGCAAGACCTGTGGAAAGTTGTTGACGGAAGTGACGCGACATTGCCAAATGAAGTCTTGGCTCTGAAGAAATGGAGAATTAAAATGGGCAAGACCATGTTCTTTTTAAAGATAACAATTGAGAAAGAATTATTAGAACACATATGTCATAAGAACATACCGAATTAAGCAAGGGACACTCTGGTCACACTATTCTCGAAGAAAAATGATCTAAGGTTATAGCTTTTGGAAAGTGAGCTACTTTTGTTCACTCAAGGAGAATTGACAGTAAATCAATATTTTAACATAGTTAAATCTCTTTGTAGCGAATTTCAGAATTAGATTGTTCGAGAAAAATTTTAGAGTTTGGAATGAGAAGAATAATCATACATGGATTCATACCCAAATTTAGAAGCTTCATTGTTGCAATTAGGGATGGCAATCGGCTCGTTGACTCGAGCTGCCTGTGGCTCAGCCAGGAAAAAGCGAGCCGACCCAACTTGAGGCTTGGAAGCAAGCCAAGGCTCGAGCCTAGCACCATTTCGGGGAGTCGGCTCAAGCTGGGTTGGCCCGTAAAAAAACAGAAAGAAAAATTATGCTACCAGTTTGGCAGATGCAGCTTTATATGCTGCCTTAACCAAAAGCTTCATAACAGGCAGCTTAGAGGAGAAGAAAAAAATTCTAGAAAATCGAGCTTGGCCTAGCTCGGCTTGATAAGGCTTGAGCCTTAATTTTTTAGCTGAGCTTAGGGATGGCAATCAGGCTCTTCGACTTGGACCACATGTGGTTCGGCTCAAAAAAACCCAAGGCAGCCCAGCTCGAGGCTCAAACCGAGCCCATTTCGGGTAAGGGCTCAAGTGGGGTTGGCCCGACCTGTGTGACTCAATCAGCCCGTTAAAAAAATTAAGGGTTATCGATCTGCTACCTGTTTGGCAGTTATTTTAGCTACCAAACAGGCAAGGTAGCAGATTTTGCTGCCAAAGGAAAAAAATCCAAAAAATCGAGCAAGCTCGGCTCGGCTCAGTAAGGCTTGAGCAAAAAGTTCAGGTCGAACCCTAATTCTTTAATCGAGCTTTTACTCGACACTCTGGCCTAAAAAAGCCCGTCTTCAAAAACATCGAGCGAGATTTTCAGCTTCGTTGACACACCTAACCGAGCTTTTGCTTAGCTCAAGCCAAAAAATGCCTATCTTAAAAAAGCTCGAGCCAAGAATTTCAACTGACGAGCCGACTCGACTCGACTTGGCTTATTGACACCCCTAGCTGCATCACAAGAATTTGCTGACTGACCAAGAAACATTGATCAAGCAAATGTAGTGGGTCTCATTAAAAAAATGGAAGAAGAAGAAGCATTATTCAGCTATAAAAAAAAGTAGGTCAATTTTGTCAACAAAATAATAAAGAATTAAAAGATGATAAACTTAAAGGATGCACTGAAGATAGTTACCAGATAAGAGGAGCTCAAGAGGCCAACTGTTCGAGAAATATCAACAACCTAATGTTTTGTGCTTTTTCTGTGAAAAACAAGGTCATTATGCTAGATATTGTTTGTTTGAAAAAGAGCTAGCATAAGGTAATATTGTAATCTCCAATGAGCAAGAGAAATACAATAGTGAAGAAGAATAGCATGCTGGGGCATCAACGACAATAATTGAGCAGACTTGAAAAATGAAAATCGGTTTAAGTCTAAAGGATAAATCGACAATAGTGGTGCTCTTGCCCCAAAAAAATAGATTATAAAGATGATTGGATCAATAACTCAGGAGAAGACATCGTGGTTCATGAATAGTCTTTTTGGCGGACTTCGTAGAGGGAAGAACTTCCATATTCAAAAGAACTATTTGAAGAAGAATATTCTTGATATTCTTCTTCATAGACACCGCAAAGGGTGAGCTGCTAGATTCAAAGGAAAATTGATGACAAATTGCAAGTGGAGATCACAGAAGCACAATGAAGCCTTGAGGAATCTAAAGATCTACAAGTGTCAAGTGAGAAAATAGAGGCTTACTAGAAACATACCGAGTTATTCGCAAAATAGTGCGAATCAAGAAATATTAACAAAGGATCAACAGAGTCAACAAGAGATTGAGGTAGTACAAATTCGCAAACACAAATATAGGAGTTAAGTAGGCATGAGAAATCAAATATAAAGTGTGCTAACCTAAAAATAAATTAACAGAAAAGTAAGGAAGAGACAGGCATATTTGAAGTAGCAAATGCGTTGAATAAATGATCGAATGCTTCCAAATTCATCTAGGCACAATTTTAAATATCTAGAATTTGCAAGACCTAAGCATGTAGAATATTCTAGAGACCCATTGCTAGAAATGAAGACCACTGCCATTCATGGGAAAAATCTCAAGAGTAAAATTGTAAATTCCATCGCTCATGGAAGAATACTTCAGAAAATTGAAGACAACAAACTCACCAGCATTCACGCCTATATATATGGTACCAATTGTATTTTGTGTGAAGGGAGATGAGAGAAAAGCATGAGTGTGTGTTGGACAGAGAGGTGAAAGAGAGACACAAATAGAGAAAGAGAATGCAGTGAGAGATAGCAATGTTTTGAAAACTGAACCTGTCATCGACCCGAAAAAGTTAAAGGGTCAAACGGTCGAATCAGAGTCAACATCTAGTAAAAATAATAAATAAATATATTTCGGATGAGCCGGAGAATTTATCGGGTTTTGTACTGATTCCTTTTCCTTCGGTTTTCATGTAGTGATCAGATCGGATTTTGGTCCTGTTCCGAATTTTCTGGTTGAACCAACCGATCTAGTTGGATTCGAACTTTTGGGTCTATTTGGCTGGCCGTCGTTTTGGTTTAGGGATTATAGTCATAACAACTCAACTGAAAATGTCCCCAATTACATTTACTGGGTAAGAAATTCGAGTTTCTTGTAAGTAGTACAAAATTATACTTGAGTCTAACAAAATACAATTGTTCAATCCTCTCTCACTCATTTATAAAAGTTAAGTGCATATTATATGCATAAGAATGGCTGAAAATTTCCGATGAATATGCACCCACTTGATAATATACCTCAAGAACACGTCTCTCTTATGAAAAATGCTCAACAACACTTTACAATCAGATTCTGTAAGGATAGAGAATATGAATGTAAAGAGCTAAAAACAGATAATATAGTGATGTGAGCATAAAAAGAGCATACGATAATCGTAGAATAAATCGCTTACGCTCTTTTAACTTCTAATCTTCTAGACTAATTAAAATTTGATCTTTAGTATATTTAATAACAGTTGATGAAATTTAATGTTGAAAAGTTATAAATTCATGAAATGTGTGGTTAAAATTAATTATTAACTTTAACTTTAGATCAAACTCTAGATTTTAATTCCTATTAAATAGGGACGTCTCTTGGAATCTGATTTTAAAAAATAAAAATTAAAAATTAAGCAGAACAAAACAAATCAAAAATTTGCAAACGCCAATTAATAGTAAAAGACTTTTTCTTAATAACAACTTATATTATCATCAGATGTTATAAACATCTGGCCACCCACGAAGTTATCATTTTTCCCTCAGTATAATGCCCCAAAATCCATTGTCAGAAAATCCAAATTATGTAACAAAATCACATAAATTTGCAGCTTGTAGTATCTTCTTCAGTGAAGTAATCGCACCTCCTTGGAACACAGCAAGGCGACCTGCCATATATATATCCAGGTCCACATGCGTAATTCCCGTCGCAGCGCGGCTGCGGCTGTGGCAGCGGTGGCGGAAAGCCATAACCATGGAAGCACGGCCCACCGCCGTAACCTTCACAGCACGGCCTACAGCAAGGATTGACAGGATAAAGCAGTGCGAGTCCTACTAGCGGCCCGGGTGCCAGCGGTGGTGCATTTCCATTGCCGTTTGATTCGGGTCCGGGCTCTTCGATTTCAATGCACTTAATAATCTTGCCACCTTTGCTACACAATTTGTCACGAATCTTCTCAGGGCTACAGCATATTACAGTGATTTTCACTGTATTTGCTTTTTCATCAAACCACCTATCTCTTATTTCTCTTGTCCCAAAGTTTTCACGTCACAAAATAAAGGAAAAAGAAAAGGTCAGTCATAATCCAAAACATTACTTACTGCTTAAAAGCAAAAAAAAAAAAAAAAAAAACTGCTTTTAAGAACCGGCATTAAAAGAACAAGACTCACGAGGAATTCTGCAGAGAATTTTCCGGATCTTCTCGAAGCAGCTGGGGCATTGGAGGTCAACTTTCAGCACCATTACAGTTTTCTATTACATCAAATGAAATTGAAGCAAAATCAAACAAGAAATCTGATCAAATAAAAATGAATAGAATAGTATGGTGTGATCAAAATTGATACCTTCTCAGGCTCAGCCATGGTTGATAGTGAGGAGTGATTGTTCTTGAATCAGAAAAACAAAGTTAGTTGATTGGTAGAGAGTACAATTCTATAATGTTCATATATATAAACTTAAGAAAGAGAAAATGGGAGATTTGTCATGTGGAACTTTATGAAAGTCCTGTCTATAAGGGGTTGGGGTAGTTAGGGTTATATTGCTGATTTTGTAAAAAAAAAAAAAAAACTGCTTTTAAGAACCGGCATTAAAAGAACAAGACTCACGAGGAATTCTGCAGAGAATTTTCCGGATCTTCTCGAAGCAGCTGGGGCATTGGAGGTCAACTTTCAGCACCATTACAGTTTTCTATTACATCAAATGAAATTGAAGCAAAATCAAACAAGAAATCTGATCAAATAAAAATGAATAGAATAGTATGGTGTGATCAAAATTGATACCTTCTCAGGCTCAGCCATGGTTGATAGTGAGGAGTGATTGTTCTTGAATCAGAAAAACAAAGTTAGTTGATTGGTAGAGAGTACAATTCTATAATGTTCATATATATAAACTTAAGAAAGAGAAAATGGGAGATTTGTCATGTGGAACTTTATGAAAGTCCTGTCTATAAGGGGTTGGGGTAGTTAGGGTTATATTGCTGATTTTGTACTCTGTGTTTTCATGTGTTTGCATTAATTGACACAATTGATCAGTCACCTTCCTAAGTTATGATAGTTATTTTTAATACACAAGAAAATTAATATGAATCTCATTACTTTTAAGAGTTTAATAATCCCTTCATTAAGAAATTTGAATATCCAACATAAGGAGGTTTCTAAATATTTTTCAACATAGAGCAATGACTTTAAAAAGAGAGAGAGTCTACATGTACAAAAACTTTGTTTACAGAAGTTCTACAGAATACACACAACATGGGGGTGGGTGGTATTTTTGGATAATATTTTAAACACGTGGAGCCCACCTCCATGTCTCACATTTATGTCTCACATCTGTAGTCATTCTGTGAAACCATTTGCTGTACAAATGGTTTAAGGCTGAAAGAGATTGGGAGTGAGCAAATGGTTTAAGGCTTAAAGAGATTGGGAGTGAAGAAGAGTTAATCTAATATTTTCTGGAAAAGTCAATTTTTCAAATGTTAGAAACTTGACCCTATTGAGTAAATTTATTAAAGGTCGAACAAATTATTTGTTTGAAAATTGCTGATAAATTTATGTAAATAGCACAAAATAGAAATGGAATACCATTTGAATTTGTTTGTATACTTTTGTTTCTATTATATTTTTTGTATTGTTTGGAAAATTCTCTATAGAAACTTGACTTTGAAGTAAAATTATTAGAGATGGACTAAATTATTTGTTCGAAAATTGTTGATAAATTTACGTAAATAGCACAAAATAGAAATGGAATACCATTTGAATTTGTTTGTATGCTTTTGTTTCTATTATATTTTTTGTATTGTTCGGAAAATTCTCTATAGAAACTTGACTTTGAAGTAAAATTATTAGAGATGGACTAAATTATTTGATCGAAAATTGTTGATAATGACATTCCACGTTACCGGGCATATGTAGAAGTTTTGTAACTTTATTTCTAAATGGCTCGTCTTTTTTATTAATAGAATCTACCAAAAATAATTCTATATTTTCCGTTTTAGTGCTGTATATGTCAATTTTCCTATGTAATTATGGGCCTGTCCATACCTATGACTACCTAAATTGAGAAATGCTATAATTTAAAAAAGGTTAAACCCCAACCTTGAGGGCCCTACCGCCTCGCCTTTGGAGTATCATGAGAGAGGTAAATTGTAGGATATGTCCCAACAGATCAGGGAACAAGAGTTTACCCGTACACTGGTACCCACAAAAAGTCAAATTACATATTTTAGGAATCGAACACTTATACTGCGACTGCCAGCAAGGCTGAAACTACATCACTCATATCCTTTGCACCACTGGGTTATGCCCTGGGGGGCTAGAAATGCTATAATTTAAGATGTACCTAATCTCTTCCTACTAGTGTCTAGCAAAATTTAGGAGATTAGTTCGAGTTAATTGTTCCAATGGTCATTGAATTTAGGTCCATGTCTTTTATTAATCATTGAACTTTAAAATATTGTGTTTTGGTTACTGAACTTAGGTTCATGTCTTTGATTGACCACTGAACTTTAAAATGTCGAGTTTTGGTCACTAAACTTAGGTCCATATCTTCAATTACTCCTTGAAATTTAAAATATCAAGTTTTAGCTACTGAATTTTGAAAAATGTTGTACATTACTCGTGAACTTTGAAAAATATTGTACATTACTCACTGAACTTTGAAAAATGTTGTATATTATTCATTGTAAACTCAATATTTTTCAAAGTTATGCAGTTATACTAGTGAGTAACGTAAGGCATATTCCAAAGTTTAGTGGTCAAAACTCAATATTTTAAATTTAAGTGAGCAATCAAAGACATGGGCATAAATTCAGTAACCAAAACTTGACATTTTTTAAAGTTTAGTTGTCAAAAATCGACATTTTAAAGTTCAATGACCAAAACTCGACATTTTTCAAAGTTTAGTGGCCAAAACTCAACATTTTAAAGTTCAGTGGTCAATCAAAGACATGAACCTAAGTTCAGTGACCATTAGAACAATTAACTCGATTAGTTCATGCAAGTTGTGTCGTGCATGGTTATTTTTTATTTTTTATTATTATTATTTTTTATGATCATGGATGTTCGGATCAACTTACACGCACCTCAACTAATCACACGGGACTCTGAAATTTACAGTCGGGTACTCACCTCAGTGGCCCTAAGGGAACTCGAGCCCTACATGATTATTTGAAAATAATAATAATAATAATAATAATCCTTAATTCCCACGAATTTCGTAGAAGTCTTGATTTTTTTTTTTCAATACACATATTAGAAAGGACCATTTCTTATGTTATATAGCTCAATGATTGGCTTGAGTCGATTGTGATCTTTATACTTATCTTGCATTCTTAAAATGCGACTTTGTTGTTGTGATGAATGTCTTTGAGACGAAGACATGTGGTGTGTTTGCAAACGTTGATTGAAGGATATCCGGTGGGGTTGTATGTATACACTTTTGTCTTTTGATGAGAGAGGATAGAGAGGTGGAATTTTTCTTTCTTCCATATGAAATCTTCTTTTGATGAGATCTTTCTATTGTAATAATAAAGAGATCGGTACATATGATTTTTGTTGTTGGTGGTGAATAGTCACTTCTGGTTACTTAGCGTAATATTTAGAATTAGAGAAATATTTTGAGAAGGGAAGCTTTTATTGGTTTGATGCTTTGTGAATCGTTTGTAATTTTGAATATCGTTTGACTGTACTAGTGAATTTACAAAGTAACCACTTTTGTGGAAGCTCAAAATGGCGAGTAGGCATTTTGAAAACATTGAACCTTTAGCGATGAAAAATCTTCATGTATTCCTTAGAGTTTTTTGTATGAATTTATGGGACCAACAATTTGCATATTCATCCTGTATAAAACACCAAGAAGCATATAATACTGGACGTAATATCGTAATGATTCTTTATTTGTATCGATCAAACATGTATAAAGAGTTCATCAAATAGAAAATAATACATCATACATATGAATTACAATTATCAACTCAAATAATCTGAACGTGCGATCAGCGGATGATCCAGCACTTGGCGAGCCCCTGCGGTCGCCCGTGCTGGATTCGTCGGAACTCAATTTTTTTTGCTGTCAAAGTATTCATTTTTTTAGATATATTTTTGTGATTTCCTTTGATTCACACCAAACCTTTACTGTACAGCTGGTTAGAGCACCGTAGAAATGAAAGGAGGTCTTGGGTTCGACTCTAATTGTTGCAATCCTATTTTGAAATGATTTTAGTTTAAAACTTTTCACCATTTTGGAGCAAATAGGCATTAAAATCGGTGCAAATGGAAGAGTGGACCTGGACCTCTGTTGGAATCATGCACGATTTGACCACCATGGCAGTGGGTGGTTGTTGAGAATACAAGCAACAACCACGCCTATATATTCTTTTATCAAGTAAAGATATACAACCACCATTTTTAGAAAAATAAATTTTTTAAATAAAATTTGACCTTATAGTGAAATTATTAAAATAGTCACTTTTTTTTCTTTCTATTAAACTGAAGAAAGTAAATAATTGGACCATTTTTCAAACTTAAAATTTTTACTCGATAAACATTATTACACCGTTAGATAACGTACACTCAAACTTACAATTCGAACTACGATATAAGCCCCAGTTTGGCCCCCTTTAAAACTTATCAATTTAATTTAAAATTTTCTCTTTTCTATTTTCAACCTCACAATCTTCAATAAAATAATATTACACGTAAATCGAAAAATTTTCCTTTTTTTACAACCATCAATTTAAAAAAAAAACACTATTTCCCCATTGTAAATCCAAATAATGGGGGCCAAACGGGGGTTAAGTAATTTCAACTCACAGCATTGGTTATTATTGTGACCGTCAACAGTCAACCATCGTCTGTGCTCAATTAAAATTTTGGATTTGCCACTGCGTGCGATATCATGAACAGTATATTTCTTCATGTACACTCTAATGCAAGACATTGACAACATAAGAATTGGAGATCAACCCAAAAGATATTCTCTTAATATTATTGATAATTTTTATAGATTTTTTTTCTCTGCTGTAAATAATAGATGTCAAAGCCCCATGAATTTATTTCTTTGCAAGAAATATCTGATTGCTAATTCTCTATCCTTTCATATGTATCTAATTATATTGAATAGCTTATCATGCATGAAAGATCTGGTGTAAGGAGTGGTGATTAGGCTTTTTGATTATCATCATAATTGAGAAAACGAGATGTTAGAGAAGATAAATTTACTATTTTCTCTTGTAAATTTTTTTCATCATAATGAATTACAGCAACGGCGGAAGAAGATGTATTAAATTGAGGCGAATTTTTATAAATCTTATGTGCCTTTAATTCGTTCCGTTAATTGATTGCTTTCGATGAACTAGAATTAGGGTTTTTAATTCTCAACACACACGACACAATTTGATTTACACCTTTACTTGTGTTAAACATAAATTCTTGATCCGCTACTAGTATCTTCATTTGATAATGACTCTCTAGTATCTACCAAGTCACTTCACACAAGAAAAATGAAACAAACACCGAAGAACTTATTCACAACGCTAAACTTAGGGCTGCAAGCAAAAATCGTCAAACCGAAATCGCATTTTAGAAACCGTCGATTTGGTGCCACGTGGACCCGATCAACGAAATGGTTTTGACCCAAACCAAACCGGTCAAAATGGTTTGGTTTAGGTTTGAGAATTTTAATTGCGGTTTAAAATCAAACTAAACCGACCAAAAAATATATAAAAATAAAAAAATGAAGAAATGATTTTTTTTGAAAATTCATTCAAATATGTAAAATTCAATAGTTTTGTTATTTGTGGGTGTTTTTTGTCAATTTCTAATTTTCTAATACAGATATATTATTATTATTATCATCATCATCATCCAATAATCCTAATATATATCTAATCATCTCAAGACTAACATAATCTATCAAAAGTTATTTTCCTCTTCAGAATTTAGACGAACTCCAGCTA